GCCCAAGTCCTGAAATGGCAGCTAAGTGTTTTCAGCCTTAATGCTATTCAGAAAGACGCAGAGGGTAACAAGCCATCCCCAGCAGAGGCCATCATGCTCACGGATCAACCTATTCACCTAGGCCGTCCTGCCCTGTGGTAAGAACATTATGTGTGGAGCCAACAACTAGAAATTCAATGCCCAAAGTCTGGTTTTTCACTTACTACATGAACCAACTTTGAATGCGAACCTTAGGTCCCAGTGACATGACAGAAATAATAATACTATTTCCATAGCACTACTTTAGAAATGAAATTAGAATGTATATGGAAAACTATGTGTTCAATGCTCCTCTCAGAGGATACTGAAAAAAGAAAACAGGTTTTTTTGTTTTTTTGTTTTTTTGCTATATTACACTGCTAAGCAAAACAAAATTTTTAAAGAGGTTAGAAGTAGAAGAGTACTGTTAAGATTTGCAGTGTCCACTTCTAGGAAAGGTGTTAGCTAAACAGAGGAAGAAGCCTGCACTGAGTTCACTGGCTGGGAATGGGAGAGTCAGCCATGTCTGTGAGTGCCGCCTCGGGTAAGAGAACAGGCCTTCACTTCGGTCTCCGCAGCACTAAGAGAACAGGCCTTCACTCCTCGCCAGCAGCACTAAGAGAACAGGCCTTCACTCCTCGCCAGCAGCACTAAGAGAACAGGCCTTCACTCCTCGCCAGCAGCACTAAGAGAACAGGCCTTCACTCCTCGCCAGCAGCACTAAGAGAACAGGCCTTCACTCCTCGCCAGCAGCACTAAGAGAACAGGCCTTCACTTCGGTCTCCGCAGCACTAAGAGAACAGGCCTTCACTTCGGTCTCCGCAGCACTAAGAGAACAGGCCTTCACTCCTCGCCAGCAGCACTAAGAGAACAGGCCTTCACTCCTCGCTAGCAGCACTAAGAGAACAGGCCTTCACTCCTCGCCAGCAGCACTAAGAGAACAGGCCTTCACTCCTCGCCAGCAGCACTAAGAGAACAGGCCTTCACTCCTCACCAGCAGCACTAAGAGAACAGGCCTTCACTCCTCACCAGCAGCACTAAGAGAACAGGCCTTCACTTCGGTCTCCGCAGCACTAAGAGAACAGGCCTTCACTCCTCGCCAGCAGCACTAAGAGAACAGGCCTTCACTTCGGTCTCCGCAGCCTTCCAGTTTAGCAGACCTTCTGTTTTCTGGCTTAGCTGAGGACAGCAGTGGAGGAGACGGTCCTGCTATTCTTAAAAGAACCTTGACTGGGGAAGGGAGAGGGAAAGGACATGAAGTGGGGGGCAGGGGAGAACCCAGGATGAGCTGCAGGAGGGGAAGAATAAGATCAAAATATACAGTATGAAAAGAAATAACACAGACTAACAACAGCAAAGACTCTGACCCGACTAACATCAGTGAGAAACTAGGCCTTTTCTAATAGTTTGGATCTGTGGGTGCTTCTGTTCAGTTTGATGTGAGCCCCTGCGCTTAGATCCAGCCATGGGTTAATTAATGTGAGGCGTATCCACAGCCTCAACACAGACGCTCTCGCAATAACACTACTTCAGAGAAAATGATAAAGAGAAAGATCTGGAAGGACCTTTTAATTTTCAGTGCTCTCTGGAAGAGGGCACCACACCGTAGTTCTGTGGAAAAATTAGTATTACATAATGTAACAAACTTTCAGTGAGGGTTAGCACATAGGTGAGGCCCACAGTGTCTTAACAGAGTGAAGGGCTTCCACATTCCTTCAGCATCACCAGCGCATCAATAAGGTAAAAGCTGTTATTGACGAGCCTCGGCGGCAGCTCGTGGAACTCTTGAAGGCCACTATCCTGACACCCGATGATGGCTGTCTTGATTATCACCACTACTGTCTCATCTTCAAATGCAGATTTTCCTTACTGAACAACTATTTGCTAACAAGTTTTACTGATTTTCTAGAAACATGACAAGCTAAAATAGCAGTAAGACCATTTCTGTCTTAAAGCTGCAAAAAATATATTTAAAGAATAATCATTGCACAGTAGGTTTTTTCAGCCATCTTCATGAGATGGAAAAACTAAACAAATACACAAAACATTTTCCTTTTCAAAGAGAATAAGCAAGAACAGGATTTAAATGAAAACATTTGTTCATTTTCTGGAGCTGACTTACTAAGTATGGGACAGCGAGCTAAGAAATGTTGCAGAAGATTCTACTCTTGGGGCAGTCTTTGACATTTTGTCCTTGAAGATGAAGATATGGGCTGGATACAAGGCTGCTCCGAGTCTTTTAATTTTCTAACTTTCATTGCACCAAAGAGGAAGGAAACAATTATTCACAGTCAACTGCATGCAGGACACTGTACTGGGATCAAACTGAACACATTTCAAATTTAGTTCCTACTAAAGATAATTGCCATGGTGAGACCAGCCACTAGAGGGCGCTCATTTTGCCTCCAGATCCTCATTAGAAGACTTCAGGTTAAAATCATGTCACCTACTTTACTCCAAATTCTCACGGAACTGCATATTTAAAGGGGCATTTTTAAAAACCGTACAATAATGGTGCATATGCTCTCTGAGTTAAAAAAAAAAGCTATCCTGTAAAGGGTCCAAGTTAAGTAAAATGAGAAAGCATGGCCAACCCAAAGATGTGTTTTCCCTGAAGTTGAGGGGTATTTGGAGCCTCACTGAACACAACCTAGTATGTTAACTTAAAGATTCACACTAAAGTTTAATAACCTAACTGTTAAGAGTGAACTTAGATTAAGTGCATTATAAAGTTAACTAGTTTCCATTCAGGGGAAAACGTAAGAACTTTGACTAGATAATCTAACTCCCAACACTGAGCTCTTGTACAAAGCAAGTTGGTGACCTTTAAAGCCCTGAAAGGTTACAGTCAATCCACAGTGCTCAGTCAAGATCGGATAAACTGCAGCTACCAACCAAGTAAAAAAACCTAAGTGAGTGGGGGCAACAGTTCAGTTATAAGAAATTATCAAATACAAGTATATCACAGTGTGAGGGATGTAAGAAAAATACTGAGACAGTAATAAAAGTTGTATCTTAAAGGGAAGTGTTGTTAAAAAGGAAGCTCTCTTTATTAACTAGAAACAAAAAACATCAAACGTTATCACGAAGAAAAACTAAGATAACAAACTTTGTATAGAAAGCAGTTTATGTCCTTAAGTGACACAATGAAAATAGGTCACTTAAAAACCCACAAGGCGCTTCAGATCTTTATGTCCATCTACATAAAATCGGAGATACGGCCATTTCACCTCGTGCTGAGTTAGTACTGAAAACAGGGAACAGGCACTTGAATGCCTCTCAAACTTTAACCATCAGGAACAAAGTCAAATTGAGCAAATACATTTTAATAAAAGAAACCATTTTACGAAACAGCAAAGCTTTGGAAGCCAGGGTCCTCGGAACTACTGAGGTAGAAAACTGCTGAGTCAGCAATATTGGCATCCGCTCCCCTATACTGTAAAACTTCCAAATTCTGGTCCGACTATTTACACACAAACATCTTCTCTCAATACTAACTTATAAGTCGAGATATTGAGAGGGCCAGGCAAATATCATGACAGGCTCCGAACCTAGTTAAGAACTAGGCCTCAGTTTCTGCAGGTACTAAGCCTGTGCCAAACTTCTACCTCCCCCACTCCCCAACAGGTGATAACCAAATAAGGACAGAACCTGGGGTTTGTCCAGACTTGCCCAAGAATGGAAAAGCTAGAGCCTTAGCCCACCCCTGCAATCCCTAACCAATTAGAAACATACTAATATGATTGCCAATTGAGTAAAAAAAAAAAATTGTAGTTAAAATGACCTAACTGCCCTAGGAACTCCCCTTAGCTGTGCTTAAAAGGAGCCCACACGTTCCTCCCTGGGTCGTGGCCATTTTGTACAGGTGAGCGGCCCCACATGAGCGCAGTATAAATAAACGCTCTTACTGACTGCATCGTGACTGGAGGTCTTTAGGGGACTTCTGGCAGACCCTAACAATATGAGAAACTAGGACAGGTGAAATTCTTCAAGGAAATTAAAATTCACAAATAACAACTTCTAAGCTAGCAACTGGTTGTAAACAATATGTAAATCTTAAAATGTTATTTTTCTGGTTCACTTGTGTGATAGATAAGTCAAGTTTTAAGCAAAATGCACATTACGGATTGTCTGGTAGTGTTCCTAAAACTATTTATGAAAAACTGGGCAATGGTAAAACTTGTAGAAACTGCAAGATATTGTGAATAAATGCATACAATACAGCCAACTCCTAAATGGAAACCTGTCTCAAGCATGGGTCTCTTTTTCTGGGGAAAATTATTTAGAAGTATTTCCCAACTCACACATCGAAACAAAGTCCAAAGGCTGTAATCACCCTGTTAGAATTGGCAAGACTTTTTAAGTGAGGGGAAATGAATTACAGGTAGACGCTGAGAATAATTTATAAGTAAGTCCAGTTCCTCCTCCTCTTCTTTTTCTTCTCCTTTTAATTTTATAGGCCCTAAACCTACTCCAAAAGGAGGAAGAAAGCTTCACCGAAGGGTGGCTAAGAATGCCACCAAGCCACCGGGACACCTGCCCGCTGCACACTCTGCTCCTCTACAGAGCGCTGCAAAACGGCTGCCTAGTAAGTAAACGAGATAGCAAAACAGAAAGCTAGTTGTTGAGAACAGAAAGGAATTCCTTCAGAGGCACAGGACCCCCCTCCTTCAGACCCAGCACCTCGCCGCAGCGAGCTGTCGTCTACCAAGGATCCTACATGTCCTCTACAGCTCACCAAGGTGGCGATCTCGAGTGGAGGATTTCAAGACAGGCTTAGCTAAATAATCCAGAGCGGCACTAGGTAGGTCAGACCTGTCAACGAATCAGGGCCAGCGAAGGTCACCGAACTGCGCGGGTGCGGTGCCCGGAGCGGGGATGGGTTTCACATGCACGGACTGGACCCGGCTCCCGGTTGGCAGCACGCGTGGGGACCTCCCGCACCCGCCGAGCGCGCCGGCCGGCCCGCCGCCGTCACTCACGTTTTCTGCACCGGCTTGCGCCGCTTGCGGCTGGCATAGGTGATGTTGGCGCCGCTGCTCATGGTGCCCGCGCCCTGCCCGCTCCACCTGCGTCCCGGAGGCGGCGCCCGGCCCGCGCTGCGCCCAGGTGAGCCGCCGCCGCCGCCGCCGCTGCCGCTGCCGAGGGCGGGACCGACCGCGACGCGCAGGTGCGGGCCACCGACCGAGGGGACGCGGGGCTGCGGGGGCTGGCCGCGGAGGAGGAGCCCGCACCCTCGCCGCGCCGCGTCCCGGGGGGCCAGGAGGCAGCGGCCGCGGAGCTCAGGGGCTTCCCGGCTCCCGCCGTGTGCCGCCGCCGCGCCGCGCAGAGCCCCGCTCCGCTGCCGCCGCCGCCGCCGCCGGGCCCGTCCACCAGCCCGTCCGCGCGCTCGCCCCGGGCCGAGCCTCTCCGGAGCACGCGTGGGGCACCGCGCGTCGAGGGGAACCGCACACACGCGCTGCCGCCCGCCGCGGACCGGCTCCTCCGCAGCCGCGACCCTGCGCGGCCCGGCCCCGCCCCCGGCCCCGCCCCACCTGCTCGGCCCCGCCCCTCGCGGCTCCCAGGGGGGCCCCACCCTCATCCCAGCACGTGATGACGCAGGACGCAGTGACTCCCTGCCTTAGCCATCTTGCAGAGGTTCTGGGTTTGGGCCGGTCCTCGCCCTGTACCTGTTTTCCAGCCTAGAAGGGGGTGTGAGGCCAGATTAGGCCTAGGCAGATTCCCCTGTAGCCAGACATGGAGATGTACCAGGCAAAGAGCTTAGCTCCTCCTAGGGCTGAGTCACCTCATTTTTGGCAAAGGATTACAACAAGCTGGTAGATAAATACTGCGACCAGAGAGCGTTCTAGTGGGGAAGGCTTCAGAAATGCCCTGCAAAGTCAAGGCCTCTAAGCTAGAGCTTTATAGTCCTTCCCTCCCACTTTTACTGTACCTCTGCAGTAGACAATAAAGTATCTTTTCCTCGAAAGTAGCATAGGAGTGCTGAGGCATTGGAGGATGGGCACCAAGTCTGGTGTGATCAGTGGGGCTTTTGTTGGTAGTCTGGTAGAGCTGGGGAGAAAAACTGGAGTGGATATCCAGAATTTCTAGGAAAAAATTCCTAAAGCCTTGATAAAGAATTTGAGTTTCAGTCTGTAGGCAATGGAAGGCTTTTAAAGGTTTAATTTGGAAGATGATGTTCCTGCTGTCTCAGGAAAGTTCCTGTGGGAAACTGAAAATTCTGTTACTGGGGAGCAAAATGGATGAAGAAAGAGTCGTTGGAAAATTGATGAAGTGGTCCCAGGTCCAAGACCGCAGTGGGGATGACGAACAGAGCAGAGATGAAGGAGGGAAGATAGTTGTTAACCTCAAGAGAACAGAGGCAGAGAAGTGCATTTGGGAGTCAGGGAGGTGATGGTGGAGATGGAGAGGAAGTTTGATTTGTTTTATAGATTTTGGGGAGGTATTAGAAGAGAGGCTATACAACAGCGAGGGAAAAGGATGTATCTGGAAAACTAAGACGCACAAATGGTGGCAAGGTTGTAGAGAAAGAAAGGTTGTTAATCACTGCGATGGTTGTGTAAACTGGTCCAGCCACCATGGAACTCTGTGTGGAGTTTCTCCACCGATTAAAAACAGCTACAATATGGCCAGCTATACTACTCCTGTGTACATACCTGAAGGACTCTCAGTCATAACAGCTTAAGATGTGGACCTAGGCTAGATGCGCTTCAAAATGTGGAATTTTATTGGACCATACGGAAAAAGAGATCACGACATTTGCAGGTAAATGAATGGAATCGGAAATTACTATGCTCAGCATGGTAGACACAGAAGGACAAATGCCTCATGTTTCCTCTCTTGTAGGTCCTAGATTGTGATGTTTATACATGAAACTAGAAGAGGGAAATGAGAAAGGAAAAGGAGCTGTTGTGGTGGGGTGAGAAGAGGAAATAAGAGGATAAATACATATGACTTGAAAGCAGAAGAGGGACTCCTGGGGGACAGGAGGAGCAGCAGGCATGGGGCGAGGAGCTGGGGGAGTCAACAGAACCGGAGCATGAAAATGCATGCATTTCATTAAGCCCATTGATTTGTATGCTAAGTTTAGGAACAAGGTTAAGAGTTAAAAGTAATAGTTTTCCCAGCCATGTTTCTGGCTGAGTAATAAGGACACACACTACCAGGAAGAAATTATAAACTTGGCTTCATACTTCTTAGGATTGAAATATATCTAAGCCATCTAAGAAAAGATGTTGAGTGGGCCAACTCAAGAAGCACAAGCTGGAGCCATGGTTTAGAAGTCGTTTACGGGTGGACAGTGAAGAAGAGAGCACAGTGCTGCTGCCCTGGGAAAACTGCAAAAGGACCGCCAGGACTGGGGACTCAGGAGCCCCACACTGGAGTGCTGGGTCTGGCTGGGTCCAGGGGGAGCAGAAGATGAAAGCAGGCCTGTAGATTCAACTGCTTGGAAGACAGACAAGAGAACCCAGATTCAGGGACCAGTCTGAACTGTGTTGTGAGGGCCCATTATTAATTATTAATTAGCAATAATATGGGGAGGTTAGTGAATGCTACTTCTTCAGAAAAGGGGAGGGAAGTTGACTGTAGGGAAGACAAAGGGCAATAAGGAACGGTAGATATTAGTGGGAAAGTACCAAAACGAGATCAGGGCTGTAGCGGACCTGCTGACAGCCGAGGTGGCCGAGGCGACCAACGCTTCAGGTGCTTTTCAAAGTCCTCCATATCTTCTCATGGGAACCAGGGCCTTCGTGATTCACACCTGTCATCCCAGCACCTGCTGTGCTGAGGCAGGATGGTGGCTACAAGTTCAAGGCCAGTCTAAGCAAGGGAGTATGGTTTTTATCTTAAGAGGGGAGGGGCACAAAAAGAAATGTGGAATCTCTGAGTGTCCAGTGTCCTTACAGAGTCAGACTATGACCTTCATAAGGTCTTGCAGGTGATCCAACTGTTTGAGGTTGAGTCCTGTGTAGTGGGTGGAGGGAGAGAGGATGCATGAGTGAGACAGAGTAGACTGGTAAAGTTTATAATGGAAATGCTACAGGGAGGGGATTTAGCCTGAGCTGTGGAGGGTGGGTATGCCCTGTGGTTGGTAGTTTTCATTTTTTTAATGTAGCTTGCATTAGAAGTGATCTGGGAAGTGGCAACAGGAAGATGGGCATTAGCGCTGCGTCCCTGATGCGTCCCTGAGCCTCCCAAGCAACACGGCACTGTGGGGGGACCTATCCTACTGAGAGTTGCCTTTTACTTAAAGCAATGAATTAGGTGAATGGAGAAGGAATGAATGAATAGATAGATAGATAGATAGATAGATAGATAGATAGATAGATAGATAGATAGATAGACAGACAAAGAAAGAAGACCATTTACATTGATCAGCAAACCAAGGGCACAGACAAAACATCTCCATGTTACCTTTTCTTCCATTTCTTCACCTGCATAGATGGAACACAATCATTCTATCCCAACATGTATTAAGTGGAAAAGAATAACTTCCTCTTAAAACAGCAACCTAAAGTGTAAACCACACGAAGCAGTCTATTGACTGGACAGGTCACAGCTCCTCTACAGCAAGGGGTTGTGCTAAACTCTTGGTGGTTTGTTTGTTTGTTTTTTAAGTCATTTTAAGATGGTGGTTATTTTCCTATCATACTTTCTGTGTTGGGTTAAAACATTATCTAGGAGTCGTATCGTGCTATGTTCTCATATTCAGTCTTAGGTCATCAATTTTTGTATAGCCAAAATTAGCAGTCTAATGTTCACACCCAAACTTCAGGAATCCATTTCTTTTCAGTAATGACAGTATAAGGTCTCCTTAAGAGTTTGTGTTCTAATAAAGCCAGTCTTTACCGAGAGCTATTACGAACAACAGTATAAAACAGCTGACACTTTCTCGAAAACAGTGCTTCCAGTTACCACTGCAGAGTATGGCTCTCAAATTGTCATTTGTGGCCACCTACAAAGATTTTCAGTTGCCTGTCATCAAGTAACATGATATTTTTCTTGCAATAATTTGTTCATAAGAATTCATTAACACCCAACTCCTTTGCCCAGTATGAGAACAGCGTGCTTTAGGAATATTATAAATATAGTTATTCTATGAAGGAAGGAAAATAACTAAAATAAATAATCCTAAGCCAATTCTGTATCAATACTGGTGTCCATCCCTGTCACTAATGTATTTAATTCCTGCAAGAAGCCAGACACTGTGATACAGGAGCAATGACAGACAGGCTCCCTCAGAGAGCCCACCTTGTAATAGAAGCGAAAACAACTAATCAAGGAGTTGCATATGTAACTGTGCAACTGCGTTTTTCATGCGTGCTTTGAGGAATACTACGGAATGGGTCACGGGTGTGCTTGATTCGTCTGGGGCAGTCACTCTGAAGCAGCTAAGCTCAGTCTCACAGTGAGAATGGGTATTTTGCAAGTGTAGAGGGGAAGGAAGGCTATTTCAAGCAGACCAGCATTTGTAACACTTGCTTTTTTTCCTCCTCCAGTTCTGTAGCTCTTTACCACCTGCCTTCAGAAGTACTGACCACACCCTTCTATTTCTCAGGCGACACACCTTAAGTTTTTTGTTTCTTTGGTCTTGTTTTTAAGGATCATAGTCCATACCTTCCAAACTGTCTACTGAGGTGACCTAAATGACAATTCAAAGGGCGACTGTAATGGATAGACATTTAAATTTTGAAGGCCAACATCAGAGACATCACTTGCATACCACATACACAACTGACATGAGATAGTCCGAACTTCAACATTTAACTATTCCGTTCCTCTTGACCTGTTGGTGTGAGGCTAAATTTCTATACATTGCTATCATAAAATACAATGAGGGAATTATTGTGGAACACAAAATAAAGATGGTTCCAATCTGATTATAAGTAAAATGCCACATATATGAATATCCCATTAAGAATGAAATAAAACATCTCAGGTATGCCTATGATTTTTTAAATAGCTTCTAAGTTGGTAGGCTTTTAAGCATGTATAAATTTGAACCTAACTACTTAATAAATGCAACTGCTTTTTTTCCTACAAATCATGTAAAACTTATCAATACACTAAAATATAGTAAAAAGAGAAAGGGTAGAAACCCTGACATAGTTCAACTCTTCATTTAAGAAGCT